AGGTGACTGACTCGTGTCTGGATGTTACAGGGACAGATGAGACACGTGTGTTTATCTGCTGAAGAGTGACTGATGAAGGAATGCTGCCATCAAAGGCTTGAGTGAGTATACTACAGAAATGAATAAAACATCTTTTAAATCTTAAGTTGTAGTTTATTTTAATTGTTGTAATTTCAAACAGAGTTATCACAGCACTTTTCTGATTCTTGATAACAGAGCTATTACAGTGCTTTTCTGATTCTTGATTTCTGTGCCTTTGCTGCAGAGCTTTTGTGGTGGAGCAGGACCTGCAAGGAAAGGTGACGGCGGGATTTGTGGAAAAAAGGGAAAACCTGAAACAAAAATATAAAGTAAGATAATTTTGTTACTTCTAATACAGAAATCAAATGACATTGTGCTGTTAAAATGTAAAACTACTAGATAGTGTTGTGGAGTTACTGATGCTATGAGGTGTTAGTGCACCTGTCCCTCTTATCTTCTTTTTATTATTATTACTGCAGAACTTATAATTACATACAAGCTCAGGGAAAGATGGTATCTTTAACAATGAACAATCATAATGACAAGAAACGGTAAACATAACTATAATGGGTTTGCGTACATCATAGTATGAGATTATATACACAGAAAAAGGCTTAAATATATTTGAATAATCATAATCTTCATATAACCATAATGCATCAAAAAATTACATTTGTTGTTTTGTTATCTATAAGCCTCAGGGATTAAACGAGATCAATTCAACAAGAAAAAGAGGAAAATAAAGGAGATTTAAGCCAGTTTTGCGTGTAGATGAACAATTTTACACATAAAATAAAGAAATGAATAACATGTTCAAGAGATAACGATTTTGAGTTTTCGTAATAAAAAATAATATCTTTAAGGATTAAACTGTGGGTCATATTAGTAGAGTTAAAAATATAAAAACTTAAACCAACCCAAAATGTATTGGTTATACTACAGTCACAATAAAAGGGCAGCTGTTTCATCAACAAGACCACAAATTTCATCAACATCAAAACATTTACAGAGAGATGAATTAAACCTGTCGCTCGTATCTGTTGCGCTTGTTATAATGTCGTAGATCACATGATAATGTCAACATGGTGGATGATGTCCGGATCGCATTCATACTTAACGAGATTTGGCTGTAGAGTACGTACTCTTTTAGCGCTCGATAAGTAAGTACTTATTGAAATTAAGTACCTACTCATTGAGTATGCGGTTTCGAACGCAGCCACAGTCAATCACTCAGTGGGTTGAATGAACGATTCAATGCATCACTCATTAAGACAGGGACTTTATGCCACCTACTGGTGGTTTTAGTGTCACATTTATTGATCCTAAACAAGCCAAGACCAGCACAAAAACACGATCAGCAAAACATCCTGTAAGTATCATTATAGAAAAATCCCTTAAAATATTGAAATAACTTTTTTGTTTTTCAAAATCACACACCCAAACATCAAACTGTGCCCTTTTAGCAGAATTAAAAAATGCAAAAAAAAGTGTGGAGTAGATGTTGACCATGCGTTTTTACAAAGACACTGATGAGTGTGACGTCATCTCACAACCATTGCCATGTCCGTAGAAATTTCAAGTCTAGAGGAGCGCTTCTGAATCCTGGTCCTTGTGACCTGCCCTTTAGGGTTAAATTAACACATTTTTAGCATTATCTGAGCACAGTTCTGAGGCATTCCTAGCTACAATAGCTGTCCCTAGAGCAAAGCCGCACTCCCCGTACCACGCATCAAACTCTGAACATTCACGGGAGGAAAGAACCTATTACTCTAGAACTGAGACGCCTTACAGACTAAGTCGTTATGCATCAGGCGAACTAGAGACCGCAGGCCCTCCAACCTTTGAATCTGCCCGACGCTCTCACCTGCCATGCAGAGCATCCAGCCCAGTTACTCCCGAACCCTAGAGAATTCTCGCGGCTCAAGACAGCTCTGGAGAACATTCTGCCAGCTACAGCCACAGAGAGATTCAAATTCCAAATACTCACCGATCACCTCAAACTAGAGGAGGCCCTGCTTATTGCTGATTCATACAGTCATTCCCAACAACCCTTCACAAAGACCATGGCAGCACTGGATCAGCAATACGCATCAGCTCGCATCAGCTCGCGTTGCAACGCATAGCAGAGCTCATGGATGGTCCAAACATAGCCAGTGGGGACATTAAAGCATTCCGACTCTTCGCCCTCAAGGTTCGTTCCCTCGTTGGCATGCTAGAGCAACTAGGAAGGAATGGCACCTTTGAGTTGCAGTGTGGCTCACATGTCTCCCGGCTCCTGGGGAAGCTGCCGCACGACCTCAGGTCAAATTTCCGGCGCTTTGCACATCCACACCAAGTGCCAATTCCCACCCTTCTTGATCTGTCAGAGTAGCTAGAGTATGAAATTCAAGTGCAGGAGGACACATCAAGGTTCGTAGGAGCCATTCATCGTGGATATCCAGCACGAACACGAGAGGTAATCAGAGACTCTAAGCCATCAGCTAAAAGTGCCACCATTCTGCTTGGCACAGAGAAAGCACCTCCACCGACAAAGATGACACTTGCAGCCAACAAACCTGCTTTAACCCCTTACTGTGACCACCACAAACACTCCCTCAACAATTGCAACAACTTTAAGCAGCTTACCGTTGACCAGAAACGAAACTGGATCAAAGACTGCGACAGATGCTGCCGCTGTGGGAGGAATCACCAAGTTTCAGAGTGCAATCTGAGAACGCGCTGCAAACAGTGTAATAGCCGTCACCTGCTGGTCCTTCATGACATTAATCCCAGGAGTGCAGACCTCCCAAAGACTAACCCAAATGAAGTTACTTCTGCTAATGCCTGTCTCCTCAACACTATGAACGAGATACTTCTCATTCGTAAGCCTCCTGCCAGCCGAAAGGTTCTTCTGAAGATCGTCAAGGTCATTGTCCGAAACGGGGCACACAAGATGAAAGCTTATGCCATCTTAGATGATGGATCGGAAAGGACCATTCTTTTGCACAATGCTGCTCAACAGCTGGGCCTAAAAGGTCAGCCAGAAGATCTTCCACTTCGCACAGTTAGGCAGGAATTACAAATGCTCACGGGTGCATCAGTGTCATTTCACATCTCCCCCCTGTCTCAGCCCAGCAAACTGTATCACATAAAGGGTGCATTCACAGCCCAGCAGCTAAGTCTTGCTGAACACACACACCCGGTTAAGCGTTTGAGGGAGAAATACCACCACCTGCCATTTAGAGGCAGCTCGCCCTGTCCTGCTCATCGGATCAGACTACCCCCACCTCATTACGCCTAGGCCCCCCAGGGGGACCAGCAGCTATCAAGACTCGTCTTGGCTGGACTTTGCAGGGTCCTGTACAACACCTGCAACATGAGGTCACTGAACAACAGTGTCTTTTCACCTCAATGGCACTACCAGAAACTGATCTTCTCAGACAAGTGGAGAGACTTTGGCAGATGGACGTGCTTCCCTGGCAAAGTGAAAAGATGAGCACAAGATCCAGACAAGATCAGGAAGCAGTGAAAATTCTGGAGAGCAAGACAGTGAGAGTAGAGGTGGATGGCGTCAAGCGCTATGCAACCCCACTTTTGCACGTTAAGGACATGCCAGACCTTAAGGCTCCCCAAAATGCTGTTCTCCCTCATCTGCGAGCCATAGAGAGAAGGCTGGCCAAAGATCCAGAGCAAGCAGCTGCTTACACAGCAGAGATTCAGAAACTAGAGCGGGCAGGTTATGCAGTCAAGGTGGAACTAAGTGCCGAAGAATGCCCAACCAACAACTGGTACATTCCCCATCACCTAGTCCAACACAACGGGAAGAACAGGGTTGTATTTAATTGCTCGTTTCAATATCAGGGTCAAAACCTTAACAAGCTTTTGCTACCTGGTCCTGTGTTAGGCCCATCTCTTCTTGCAGTGCTGCTCAGGTTCAGAGAGCATTCAGCTGCTATCAGCAGTGATATCCGGGGGATGTTCCACCAGATTGCTTCCCGAAGACAGGCCTCTTCTGCGATTCCTCTGGAGGGATCTAAATCCACAGGATCCACCCAATGTTTATGAATGGCAGGTTCTCCCCTTCGGCAGCACATGCAGCCCTTGCTGTGCCATATTTGCATTACAAAAACACATCCTGGACAATAGCCAACCTGAGGAAGACGTCCGCCATTCTATCCTGAAGTCTTTCTATATAGATAACTGTCTGCAGAGTTTCACCTCAGTGGAAGCAGGCAAGAGTCATGTTGACAAACTCCGGAGCTTATTGGCTGGAGGAGGTTTCGACCTGAGGCAGTTGTCCAGCAACCAATTCTCCACCATAAGCCATTTACCTCCTGAGGCCAGATCAGATGGCACTGAACTTTGGATTTCACAAGGGCAGAGCAACACCCAAGAATCTACCCTGGGGCTCCTCTGGAATCACCAAACGGACACGCTTTCCTATAAGTACCGTCCCATACTAAACACTGAGACTACCATGCGCAGCATTTACAGAATTGTGGTACAGAAAGTCAGTATGACCCCCTGGGCTATCTCATTCCCTTCACTACCAGAGCCAAGCTCATAGTGCAGCGCCTTTGGAATAAGAAAAGAGACATTGTCTTTCCAAGGTGTTACACCAGCCCAATCAGAGATACAGACATGAGTCAGCGAGAGGTACACATCTTTTGTGACGCCTCTGAGCGTGCTTATGGCTCAGTCGCTTACCTCCGCACAGAAGATCAAGGTGGCCTTCCTCACAGCCAGATCACGAGTGGCACCCAAAAAACAGCAATCGATCCCTCGTCTGGAACTCTGTGCTGCACTGACTGGGGCACAGCTTGCTAAAGTAGTCAGAACAGAACTGAACCTTCCCATACACCAACTCACTCTGTGGACTGACTCCACCACAGTTCTCACTTGGCTGCATTCAGACTCTTGCCGATTTAAAGTGTTTGTTGGAACCAGAGTCGCCGAGATCCAGGACATTACAGACCAGCACACATGGCGTTATGTTCCATCAATTCATAACCCAGCAGATGATATATCACGGGGGAAAAGCCTATGTAGGCTGGGACCAGATAGCCATTGGTACCAAGGGCCATCCTTTCTCAAAGATCCTCCAAATCTGTGGCCGGAAAAATCCAACACCCTGTGGCTGCAGATGAAGACGAGCTTTGTAAAACAGTTCCCTGCCTCCTTACCTGCTTCACAGCCACCTTGTCATACCCTGACATCAGCCAGTATAAGACTTTTAAAGAGCTACAGGAGTCCAGGGCCTGTCATGGGGCGGCAGGCATTCCGACAGCTGATGACTACAAGACGGCTGAAATCAGTGTTCTACAGCAAGCTCAGGAAGAGTGTTTCCCTTCTGAACTAGAGCAGTTAAAGGCGGGTCAATCATTTCCCAGAAACAGTCGGCTAAAGACACTGGCCCATGAACTTGACAACGAGACTCAGCTGATCAGAGTAGGAGGTCGCCT